GAGAGGAAGCTTGCTCTCTGAAGGTTGTGGGTTGTGTTGTGTTGGGTAGAAGGGGTCCTATTTATAGCTGCTGGGAATGGGTCTTCTCCAAGAAACCCTAATGGTTTCTTCCCAATCTAGCTAAGCTTTCCTCTTCCTTTCTTCTCCTCTTTCTTGACTTACCTCATGGTGGCAAAAATCAGTTCTGCCCAATCCCACAAAATCAGAGATTTTTGGGAGCTCTAGGCTTCTTCCGGTGGTTGCTTCAGAGGAGAGCTTCCATTTTCATCCATCTTCTTTCTCCCCTTTCTTCCTCTTTCCATGGCCAAATCTGATGAAGGAAAGAAAATGGGTGCGCCTGCTGGTTTAAAGGATGGCATCCTTCCTTGCGTGCCAAAATCCCTTGGTCCTTCGAATGCCTTTGCTGGAAATTTGTTCACCCATCACGTGCTGAGGCTTCCAACGGCTTTGCATACATGGACACCTTTGCTCCTTTTCGTAGCTTTTGTTTTCACCCAAGTGCCGAGGCTCCTGTTGACTTTTATGCTAATTGTATGGGCTTCTTGAGACAAAAATATGACTTGTCAAATAAATGGGCTAAGCTTATCAAGTGTTGGGCCATCTTGGTTGTAGTAATGGGCTATCTTTTGGTTGGGATATTTTAATTGGGGCAATGGGCTACTTTCCCTCTTGTGCTTACCCACATTTGGGCCTAAGAAATGGGCTTGAGTCCCGAGTCTTCCAATACTTCAATGTTGGGATTAGTTACTAGTTCTAATTTGATACAAATTTATATTTTTTGGGAATTGGTTGGAATGTGTTCTTATCTATTAATAGGTTTTTGGTTCACACGACCTAGTGCGGCGAATGCTTGTCAAAAAGCGTTTGTAACTAATCGTGTCGGGGATTTCGGTTTATTATTAGGAATTTTGGGTTTTTATTGGATAACGGGTAGTTTTGAATTTCGGGATTTGTTTGAGATATTTAATAACTTGGTTTATAATAATGAGGTTAATTTTTTATTTGTTACCTTATGCGCCTTCCTATTATTTGCCGGCGCAGTTGCAAAATCCGCCCAATTTCCCCTTCATGTATGGTTACCTGATGCCATGGAAGGGCCTACCCCCATTTCGGCTCTTATACATGCCGCTACTATGGTAGCAGCAGGGATTTTTCTTGTAGCTCGGCTTCTTCCTCTTTTCATAGTTATACCTTACATAATAAATCTAATAGCTTTGACAGGTATAATAACATTACTTTTAGGAGCCACTTTAGCTCTTGCTCAAAAAGATATTAAGAAAAGCTTAGCTTATTCTACAATGTCTCAATTGGGTTATATGATGAAAAAAAATAGCTCGTTCTATTCAATGTCTCTCTGGGGTAAAGAAGGAAAAAAAATTATTAAAACAAGCTTTCGTTTATTAGATTTTTTAACTACGAAAAACAATGAAAAAACTTATTTTTTAAACACGTATTGGATTAATAATAATGGAAATGTAAGAAGTATGGTACATCCGTTTATTAGTATTGCTCGTTTTGGCCCGGAACTTCCATTTCTTGGTCCATCAATGGGCCTCATGACAATTTATTACCATCCATACCACAACTCATTCAAGCAAGCCCCGGGCATTTGAGTGGCTTGGGCCCACTTAAGCTTGTGGTGCGATTGGGTGTGAAATAATAATTTCCCGCTTAGCATAGCATGTCGCTTGGCATGGCATGTCATTTGACATGCTTTTAATTATGACGCTTGATAGGATAATTGGCATGGATTTGCATCTTTATAATTTTAATCTCAATTTCTAGCATGACAGATTTTTATTTGGCATGGCATGCAGGGTGTGGCTTGTGCATGGCAGACTTTCGTGTACTCCAAATCGGGTCTTTTTCCAATAATATATCGTTTTGGGCTATGAATTTATTCGGGCCCAATCATAGATTTTTTGGGCCTCAACACTGTGTATCTATTAGGTTCTAATTAACGAGAGAATGGGTAATTAGAACTCTTATTAATTGATTGTGAATTAAAACTCCCTTTTAATGTTCTCTATAAGTGAGGATCATCATTGTTAACTCTTAGGGCTTTCACAAGCCATGAGTCACATCTAGCAGTATGTCATGACTACCTAAGCAAAGTAGAATAGAAAAAATCTATTCAGTTGGAATTACAATGCAATACAGCCACTCTCTACTTAAATACTCTCAATCACATTATTAAGGTATGGATAATTCATGTCAAGCCCATGTTGTGATTCTCTCACTTTCATATGATTTGTATTAGCATATTTTTTTTTTGGATCAAATAGAAACTTCGTTAGATAGACTTCAACGGTACAATCAAAAACATCAATAAGACATCGAAAATACCAATCCCAAGAGGGCAATAAACTAACATGCTAAAAGCAAAACTAACGTGGACAAAAGCCTAACTAAAACTACTAGCCACATAATCACAATTAGCCATAAGCCCAAACAAAGCCCACAAACCCAACATAACCAAAACCATAAATCAACCCATGAGCCTAAACGAACCCTACCACCACCACCTGAAGAAGTGCCGTTGCGGCCACACCCATCACCGCATCCGTAACAGATATGGGGAAAATATAATTTCCAGCAATCTACCTGCGCATAAGAGCGAACAAATAAATGAAAACAACAACTTTGCCAAAGAAGAATTAGTTGATTGCTGCAACCTCCATCAAAGACTAAGTAGAATTAAATTTAAAGGACATGAGCGGCGTTAGGGAGTGGGTTTTGGGAGTAGGATTTGATTGAAAACATAGACTGAAATGGGTGATGGGGAACTTCAATCTAACCATGGCTTAGAAGAAACCACCATAAGAGGCTTTTTATTCAAAACGCCCCAATGGACTTATTCACTAACCTAAAAGGAAAAGATGAGAAGAGAGGAGGGGGAGGAGGGCCAGTGATGCTTCTTCCTCTACTTCTTTTTTAAGTCATGCTTGACAATTTCATCAAAGTTTTCTTTAATCATATCTTAGAGCATTCTCCCTCTTTATTGAGGATATAGATTCCTTATTGTTCAATTGCATGCATCTATGAATCAATTGAGAGGGTCCCAAGAATACATAAGGCATATATGTGGTCAGTACATGTCTATATTGTACTATCAAAAAGACGCACGACGTATTCATAAGACAAATATGGTGCCTTAGGACTAAGGACTACTTTGCAATTTTGCAACCCAAAGTTTCTTGTTTGACATGTAAGTGAACCTTACATACAAGATCTCTTAATTGATTGTGTTTAGTGAAATCACTCTCCATTGAGCACCTACATACTTGTCTTAGTGTCTCTACACAAATAAGTTGAGACCAGTCATCCTCCCAATGAAGTAGACATTGTATGTACCGGTCTTTGCGGGTTATCAATGACTAGAAACTGTTTAGGATATGAGGGTTATAAGAGGAAGGTCTCCTGAATATTCTTTAGAATGTTTTCTCTTTATTTTATATTTCTTGGACTATTGTTTAAGCACTGTTGAGCAAAAATTGGACAAGTAATTTGTATGAACCTTCACCCAAAATAATTTCACTCTTGTCGATGACATAAATGAATTTTTATTATTTTAGCTACAATCTCTTGTTAAAAGATAACATCCTTTGATTTCAACATGAATAAAATGTAATTGGGGGTTTTGTGTTGTTGACCAGGTGTATGGTCTCCCCAGTTAGCTAGGGCCCTAACTCGGGTTGGGACAAGCTAAAGGATTTAACAAATCCTGGGCTGATGGATTCCCGCGAACTATATTAACATGGTGGTCCTTCTGAACCTCTGGAATAGCCTGCACACTCTAAACAACAAGAGAGACTATCAGAAGGGGGGAGGACTGATGTGGTACCAGCCAAATCCCATTCGATGCCTAAATTAGTAGCTGAACTGATAATACTCTAGGGAGAATGAATGGGAGGAGTTTCCTAAAGAATAGAGTTATTACCTTTGTCTCAATGTTAGTGAAGGGTATTTACAGGGGAGGAGTGGGACCATATCCCCTTAAATCTAGCCTAGAAGAGACCTTCAGCCATTCCCTATGCTAGGATATAAGAGTGGCTGTAGGCGTCAATCACCATGCTGATTTTCGGGGACAAGCAATCGGGCGACACCTTGATTGGATTTGAAGTGCATTAAAAGCTTTCTTTCAGTCTTGTTCTGACACCCACGTGGTTTATCGTGTTCAAGAAAGCGATCTCTTCCAGATTCTCCAATCAACTTGATTAGCTCCTCATGTTCGACTGAGGAGGACTTTCGGGATGTTCTGCCTTGGTATACAGCTCGGGTGGTTATGACTGTGAGCAGATGCCGCCTAGGGTTTAGGGGTTAGGGAAAAAAAGGGAATCAAGAGGAAATTAGATACACCTCATCGACCCGATCATATCGCAGGCCCTGCCAGACCCAAGGTCGGCTGGGCGGTGTCTGCTCACAGTCATGATTACCTGAGCTGTATACCAAGGTAGAACATCCCAAATGTCTTCCTCAGTCAAACATGATGAGCTAATCAAATAGATTGGAGAATCTGGGGGAGATCGCTTTCCTGAACAAGTTAAACCACGTGGGTGTCAGAACAAGATTGAAATGGAGCATTTAATGCAATTCAAATCCAGTCCAAGTGTCGCCCAATTGCTGGTCCCCGAAAATCAGCATGGTGATTGACGCCTACAACCACTCTCATATCCCAGCATAGGGAGTGGCTAAAGGTCTCTTCTAGGCTTGATTTAAGGGGATATGGTCCCACTCCTCACCTATAAATACCCTTCACCAACATTGAGACAAAGGTAATAACTCCATTCTCCAAGAAACTCCTCCCATTCATTCTCCCTAGAGTATTATCAGTTCATCTCCTACTTTAGGCATTAGAGGGGATTTGGCTGGTACCATACCGACACTCCCTCCTTCTGATAGTCTCTATTGTTGTTTAAAGTGTGTAGGCTATTCTAGAGGTTCAGAAGGACCTCCCTGTCAAGATAATTCATCGGAATCCGTCAGCCCAGAGTTTGTTAAACCTGTTAGCTGGTCCCAACCCGAGTTAAGGCCCCAACTAACTTGGGAGATCATATTCCTAGTCAACATGTGTGTTTGTTTAAGTTTGTAACTGCACATAGGTTGGACCCCAGATTGCCTATGTATCCTTTTTGAGGGATCAAGCCACTCGTAGTTCTTCGGAGAATTTAATTGGACTTTTGAGGAGTGAATGACCCCTTGAAAGAATTTGTGGTGATATGAGTTGAGTATGGAATTTAGATGAATGTGGTTTTGTGGTTGCATATGGATTGAGTCTCTACGTATTTAGGGATAGAACATAGCTTTGAGTCTCTACGTATTCAGGGACAAAACGTAGCTTTGGCTAACCTGGGCTGTGGCTTTTAAAATCCCAACCCAAAAAATAATTATAGCCCAGCCAACCATCCAATTGAATATCCTACCCTTCTTAGGATCCTTTGCTTGCACTGCCTTGCACATGGGGAATAAAAGGGAGAATAGGAAACAACACATAGGAGAAGAAAAAAAAAAAAAAGAGAGAAAAAAGAGTGCACACAGCCAATGGAAAAAAAAGAAAGAAAAGTACAAAAATGGAGCTTGATGAGTTGAGAAACAATGGTTGGGATGACTTTATACAGAGTGTACGATCATTTTGCGAAAAACATGAAATTAGTATGCCTGATATGGGTGCTCGTAATACAATGGGCACTGGGCATTCTTGTCAACAAAAAGATTGTATCACAGTGGAGCATTATTATCATATGGATGTATTTAATGAGGTAATAGAGGAGTTAAATACTAGATTTCTAGATGAAATTGTGGAACTCCTTTATCTTAGCTCATCATTGGATCCTCGTGATGCTTTCAAGCCATTTAACATTGATGATATATACACTCTTGTTGATAAATTTTATCCTCAAGATTTCACTACAACTGAGTTGCAGGCTTTAAATCAACAACTGGGATTTTATAAGATTGATATGGATCACAATCCAACCTTCAAGAATCTTGATTCCATTCCTATATTACGCGAGCGCTTAGTGGAAACAAGATTAGCACAAACCTACTACTTGATTGACAGATTGATTCGTTTGGTGCTAACTCTTCCTGTTTCTACAGCAACAACAGAACGAGCATTTTCTTGTAAGAGACTAATCAAAAATCGGCTTCAAAACAAGATAGGTGATGAATTTCTTGCTGATTGTATGTTACTTCACATTGAAAGAGAATTTGCTGATAATATAGATAAGAATCGATAATTAATGATTTTAATTCTATGAAGACTCGAAGGGTGCAACTTATATAGTGTTATTTGAGAGGTAAGGCTCATTATGTCCCCCCTTGAGTAGATGTATTATTATTATTTTGTTATCAATCCCCCCCCTTTCTTGAGCAGATGTATTATTAATTTTTTGTTATCAATGAAATTACATTGTACTATCAAGTTTTCTATCTACTTAGTATGTTCATATGTAAGGTAAATTTAGCCCAGTCAAGTTTGAAATCTTGAGTCCATCCCTGTATGAATATTGGCTGAATCAAATCGGACATAATTCAAATGTGAGGAATTTATTTGGAGTGAATTTGTTTGTTTCGCACTATTGAGAGATTTCGGACTTGGAAATCAACGAGGGTTTTAGTGTCAAAAAGAAAACAACAAGTGGTGTACTTTTGTATCAGTTATTTCTTAACTGACATATTGGAATTTTGGACTGACTAATTTTAATTTATACACGAACCAACTATTTGCTACCTGGTATTATTGACTTGAAATTGTTAATGGGTGCTTTGGAAAACCTATGAAGCCATGAGTCATAACCTGGGTTTTGTCACCTTCGATTTTTGCCAAAGGGCCAGACCATTTTGAGACTAGCAGAACCTGCTTTTACGTATGAGCATGAGCAAAATTGCACCAAGCCAGTTTTGTGTTTCTTTAAAAGAACACCCTATAGGGTATGCCATTGGAGCCTTGCTTGAGCGTGAACTATACTGGAGCATTCCCCATTCCTAATTGTGATTGTTTGTTTTTTTTTTTTTCACTTGCTCTTCTCTTGTTTCTCTTTGTTTTTTGGTTATTTCTTTTTCTTTTTGGGTTTTCAGAAGGCTTGTTTATTGTCTGCTTTATAATTCTAGTAGTCCCATTGTTGTCTCTGCACTTATTGAATTCTCATGGAGATTTTGTTGGTGTAATTTTTATTGTGATGCTCGACCACAAACATCATGAACTGCAAAAATTACCAAAAACAATGTTCTTGAACAAAGTGGGGGCTGGCACCATCATTTTTTGTGTTCTTGAACAACATGCAAAGTTTTAGAGATCACCTGCATTTTTTTGAAAGAGACATAAATTATATACCTTTTTGTATAAAACTTTCTTTTCCCTGATCAAGTCTCCCTATGCAAATCTCCCCTACTCATTCTCGCTTATGCTGTGTCCTCTCTGTTCTTGACAGAACCTTCTTTTGATCTTTCTTTGTTTTTGCGCGCTCTTCTGTTCTTCACCTATTATTTCTCTGAAAATTAGGCAACCCTTGGGTTCTTCTTCTCCTTTTGCTTCTGCCTCCACCCCATTAAGCCTTCGGTTCATACCTTTTTATAGGCAAAAAGGTGAGTAACAATTGACGTTCCTTTACTGAGTGTGCCACTGTTTTTATGAATGGAGTAGTGGGAGATAACCAGTTAAAGAACACAATCTCATCCCACCATTTTTCCTTTTTTTTTTCTTTCTCTTTTTTTCTTTGTTTTCCTTTTGAAAGAGGGCTAAAGTGGTATTTCAAAATATTTAACAAAAAAAAAAAAACACAAAAACTAATTAATACAAAAAAAATTGAATTTGCATATTAGAATTTACATTTTGATATGTTGCATTCCTTATGATTTGTCTCGTTTTCTTCTAGTTATCCAGAGCATTTCCCAAACTTAGGATGTTCATTGGAATGTCATGACCCTAATCCAATAAGCCACGCGGTTCACTGGAGTTTCCTCAATAGCCATATTACTTGGACACCTTCGGACTAAGAAGCAAAAATTTCCCAATCTCATGCGTTTTACAATCCACCCCCTTGGGGCTCAGCGTCCTCGCTGACACACTTCCAGTTGAAGTCTAGCTCTAATACCAAATTGCCACAGCCCACTCCCACTAGCAAGAAATTGGGTCTAGAAGAAATTGAAAAAAAAAGTAGAGGATGATGATTTGAATGGGGATTTGCAGAAAAATTTCCATTCTTATTTGAGAGTACCTAGGGAGGGAAGGATTTGGGCAAACCAACCCTCCTCCAAGAAGAATTGTGCTATGCCCCCTGATCCCTATAAAGTGAAAGAGCTGCCTGGTGATCTATAGGTTGTAGCACGTCCGGTCGTTAACTCCTCGTGCCATTTTTAGGCCCTCACGGTTTTGTTTCTGGGCTCAAGCTTATGTTATCTTACCCAAAACGCGTCTTACTAGGTGAGATGACAACTGCTCTTATAAGGCATTTCACCTTTCTGTCCCCAAACGATGTGGGATTGTTCACCGATCTTGCTTCCCAAGCTCACGGGTCTTGCGTTTTCCAACTTAATGACCAAGTGTTCTACTCATCCACCACAAAACTACACGCAAGGTGTGGATGAGGAAGTTTTGTGGAGGAAATTTGGTTTCGGATATTCCAACCCAAGAAACAATGATTCAAGAAAAGTTTGTTCTCGTCTGAGGAAACACAAAATGTTTCCTTTGCACAATGTTTGGCTGAGTGATTTACCCAATCTTGTTGATGAAAAACATGAATCATCCCACTAACGTAGTTGAGTTGGTCACTACTGCACTTTGAAGATGTTATTGCTAGTTTTTACTCATTTTTTTTCGGGTCTTTTATATTACCAACTGTTGATTGTTCTTTTCTTGATTGTTTTATATCTTCAATGTGTGTTGTTTGCTTCTCTGGTAATCTCTACCTTGATTCTTAAGGTGAGTTAGAGGGCTTAGATTTAACAACTTATTTGAACTTTCTCTAATGAATAAAAAATGGAATGTAAGTGGATAAAATTGGAGTGGGAAAATCACCACTCTAAATTTTTATTACAAGGGGAGATTCCTTTAGGGGAGATTCCTTTCCTCAACTTACATTCCAAGTACACATGTCATATTCGACAATGCTACGATCCACCAACTTTCTTTACAAACTTATTGATATCAATACATGAATAATATGGTAATTCAAGCAATGGTGGACTCAAGAATTTTTATAGAAGTAGGTTAAATATATTTTTTATTTATAAAGGAGATATATTATAAGCCTTTTTTTTCTTTTGAAACAAAAATGTAAATAAAATTTTATAAATCAAACAAGGCCACATTACGAGCAAATATAACATAAAGAAGTACTAAATCAAACACATTGTTCAACTTCAAAAAAATATGTTCGATTGCAAAAAAATTTAAAGAGCTTACCTAGTGAAGTGGAACTCTTCTCTGTTTAAGTGTATCAAAATCTTTGATTATATACGCTAATTAATAATTCAAGTTGCAAAAATAAAATATATATATCAACAATCTCCAAATGTTGACACCCAAACCCTAAATCATAAAAACTTAACAATAACAATTAAAACTGGAAATTGAATATAAAAATTAGAGAAAAATTTACCAAGATTGAAGAACCCACTGAAGATAGGTTGGTACACTTTTTTAGAGGAGGAGAGCTATTTCCTCTAGGCTCTCAAGGTTCAAATATGGCGTTTTGGGTGGTTAGAAGAAATTTTTTTTATGTTTGCTCTCTGTGGGTGTGGCCCAATATCAATATGATTATAATAGCTCAAGTTGGTAGAGCCTTAGCGTGAGTTCTGTTTCTAATCAAATTTATATAGGTTCGGATTAATGTTTATTATTTCCTATATGCTTCAGGAGTGGGCTAATATTTATTGGAGTAGGAATAAAGCTTATAAAATTTAAACCGTGTTCAATACTTTATAAATCTTCCCCTAGACTGGAGCCCACTCCAGCCTGGGTTTAGGTCCACCCTTGAGTTCAAGTCATATGCCTGCTGCATCATCATTTTTTAATACCCGACTTTAAATTTAATTCTTTAGTTTAAAAAAAAATGAAAGCGTAAACAATTTTGTATATTAATAAAAATAAAGAAAATCTCTTCCAACGCCTCCCTTTCTCCCCATGTCATGGTGGCATGGCCTCTCCCTTCCTCCTCAAATTCCCATGATTCCTAAAATCTTCCATAGTTTT